CTACCGTATATTACGTAACTCCATCCCTCTCTCATCTTAGCTCACAACCTTCATTTAATCTGCTCATCTCTCGAACGTTTGTCTATTTGACCTTTATGTTCTCACCCCCACCCATGACTATCTAACTAGCCTTGTCATATTCTTTTAATCTGTTTGCTCGCCTCTGTCATCGTTACTAACTGAGCTCTAATCAGCCAATCAGACATCTGTATTGTGATCACCTTATATATGTAAACGCCTGATGCGATATATCGAAAAGAAATTTCTTCGTGAATACCGTTTTCTACAATATACAACGAGACATCGTGTTCTATAGAAACGCGTTTTAATGTGTCTGTACAGCTCTTGAAAACGTTCTGCGTCACACCTGTGTTACGGGCACCACCCTGTTTCTCTCTCTCTCTCTCTCTCTCTCTCTCTCTCTCGCTTTCTCGCCATTCTAAGCCCTGGAAGGACATGCATTTTGGATATGAAACATAAGAACAGGCCTCGATGATCAGTACCACTTGCACTTTGGAGGGTTGAAACACGTTGCAACCACATTGCAGCTTGTTGCATTCTCATCCCTGTGATTGTTTATTCTTTTGATTGGATTTCAATCTTCTGCAAAAATGAGTGACAATTTCGCTTTCCTTTGTGGATTGCGAGTGTATGACATAAGTGAGTTGATTTGCCTCCCCCTCAATTATGTCCATCATCTATAGTTATTGATTTCAATAAAGTAGACGAGGCGGCATGTAGCAACTGAGTTAATATGAGTAAACATGGTTGAAAACTGGTTTTAAGAACCCTCTCTCGAAAAATTGTCACCGTCAACATTGTTGAATAGTTCCAAAGTTTTGAAATAGACCCCAAGTATATGCCTTTTCTGTGGCTCTGTTTTAATTACCCAGTTAAAACCTGAGATTTATCACCTCTAACCAATCGATAGATCAAAGCGTTTGCCTAAACCAGGCAAAGCTTTTACAATGCTCCTCACTCGTATTTGGAGTGCAATCCTCGCGCTCCCTCCCGTTTTCTCGTACACTTCCACATCTAATAATCAAATGTGTGTATGCACCACACACACACACACATGCATACGCTGCCCTTTGATTTAGTGCTCAATCGACAGATTGAAAGTGACGGCTTGATTATGGCTCCCANATTATAGCCACTGGATAGTGTGTTCATTTGAGGGTCAGCCAAGCCGACGGTTGTGAGGCCTACTTACGCATGGCATTTCGAGTTCACTTTTGTTTGTTTGTGTGCTGTACGTGCATCTGAGTGTATGTGTGTGTGTGTGTGTGTGCGAGTGTGTGTGGTTTTTCAGTGTCAGTTCGAAGTGGATTTCATTCCCTTAGGGGGTGCTCCACAATGGAATGAATATTATGCTTGCACACACACACACACACACACAAATGGACGGACGGACGGCGAACAAGGAGTAAACACAACCGAAACGACAACTGTCGTCGTCATCATAACTAAAAACTCCTCCCATATGGTGGTTGCTCCCGTTCCCGTTTTTCTTCTCTCTCCCCACTCTTCCCTCAGTCTTGTCCGCGCAGACTCTGTGCACAAGGCGAATGTTCAGAGATAAAAACGAGTTTGGGTGGAGAGACAAGGACATTTGACCGGTGTGTTCAACAAACTGTGCCTACAGACAGACAGACAGACAAACACACTTCCAGAGGCAAAAGACACCGGTTGTAGGAAAAGAACGTCAGCTACACAGGGACCAAAGAATAAGAAACTGAATAAGCGTATTTCTGCCCGACGGCTCACACATTCTGTCGAGTGTACAACTAATGAGTCGAATACCAAGAACTTGTGTATCTCATTAATCAGTTGCCCTTCGTGCAATAAAACGAGGATCTCGTGAATTGGTATTACTCGTTGCTTGTATTGATTATCATTTTCAAACCACGTAATGGATTTTATTCGCGAAACATGAACGGGTAATCAGTTTTGTATCAATGAGATAGCAGCATACATCGTTCATATAGTGA